AAACAAAACAAAAAATAATTGTAAGATGTAAACTTAGAATTTTGAGGGGGGAAAAAAAATCTGAATTGCAAGATATAAATTCGCAATTAAGTGAAAAAAAGTCAGAACTGCAACATATAAACAAGAGTTTATAACTCACAATACTATGGTAAAAAGCCAAAATTTCGAGATATAATATCATAATTGTGAGATAAAAGTCTGAATTGTGAGATAAAAAGTCACAATTCCCTTCTCAAGTTAACAGCTGCTTGGAGTGCAAACCTATAACAATATTAAGGTCATAAAGAATACTTTATGCTATTTTTGCCTCAGGTTACTTCTCAGAAAAAGCAGTATCAAACAAACAGGCATCATAAAGGAAATAATATTGAACTTTAGATCATGAAGAGCATGTAAAAGAGAAGGATCACATAATTTGCCTTCAAGAGCAAAACTGCTCTCTGAAATACAACAAATACAGTTTGGTTTGTTTATAATAATGCCAATAATGACGATGCATGACATTAGAAGCCGTCATGCAAAGATTCAAAAGAAACGTTTGACTAGTAGCTGGTTCTCATTACAGGGTTGTTCAGAAATATTACTGTAATGTTCTTCTCATGTGCATTCTGCAATAACTCTTGCCACAAGTCTAAGTCTGACTTATATCTGCTTGATATGAAACTGTTTTGTGGCCATATTTATAAATAGATGAAACTGTATAATGCCATATTCTGTTGCTTCTTCTAAAACTATGAATACATCTTTGTATACAAGCATCTGTTAAATGAATATCTATGTGAACAATTGAAGAAGTAATGCGATTTAATGTGAGTAGAGTTTACCACATGCTACTTAAAATATCAGTTTAAAGTAATGCAAATAAAACATTAAATATAAATGAGATTCCTGGACTGCTGCTAATCAGTAATAATAATGTTATTTTAGTATCGTTGGGATACTAGTTTTTTATTAATATTTTGAACCAGTTTTTATTTTTATATTTTATGGTTTAATACATTTTTTTCTTAAAGTTTTAGTAATTTTGTTGAGTGTTTTTGTCGTTTTGTCAGACTCTGTTCCACGTCTGGTGTTGTGTTTTCCTCCCCCACATGCTCCAGTTTGATTATTATGCCCATATTTGGTTTTTCCTGTTCCTGTCCCTGTTTAGTTCATTTGTTCCCAGGTGTGTCCCATTAGTTTCTGTGTATTTAAAGTGTGTTCTGCCCCTCGTTTCCCATCCGCTGTTATATGTCATTTTGTGTGCTCAGTGTTTCCTACGTTCCCTGTGTTCCCAGCGATTGAGTTAATAAAGACTCTTTATTGAAGAATTCCTCGTCTCCTCGTTCCCGTGCTCCTGCGGTATCGTGACAGAACAGTGGAATGAAACAGTAAGCGGCGCCCCTTCTCCCGTGTTTTTGTTTTCTTTAGCCCACGGAGGGCTCTTGTCCCCGAGTTTAGCCCACGGAGGGCTCCTGTCCCCGAGTTTAGCCCACGGAGGGCTCCTGTCCCCAAGTTTAGTCCAAGGAGGGCTCCAGTCCCTGAATCCAATCCAGAGCGCACTCCCGTGCCCACGCATCGAGAGTGCCCACCAGTGCCCGCTCCTCCAGAACACCCTTAGGACCCCGTTCCTGCCAAGATGCCTGTAAACCTCTCCAAGTATTTTATTTGGGGGGGTAGTAGGGCTTCAGCCGTAGAAGCCTCGGAGGCTGCTCTGCCATGGCCTCCTGGACTGTGTAATCTGCCATGGCTCCCCGAGCTGCCTGCTCCACCATGGTGTGTTTAGTTCATTTGTTCCCAGGTGTGTCCCATTAGTTTCTGTGTATTTAAAATGTGTTCTGCCCCTCGTTTCCCATCCGTTGTTATATGTCATTTTGTGTGCTCAGTGTTTCCTACGTTGCCTTTGTTCCCAGCGTTTGAGTTAATAAAGACTCTTTATTGAAGAATTCCTCGTCTCCTCGTTCCTGTGCTCCTGCGGTATCGTAACACGTTTTTTTTATGTGTATGTCTATATTGTTTTTTTTTTGTTTGTTTTTTCAGTTTTAGTTAATCAAAATCTAAAATTAAAATGATTTTTTAATGTATTTAATTGAATGACTAAATTATTAAAATTATTTATTTATTATTTAATTTAGTTTTTAGTTTCATTTTAGTTTACTATAATAACCCTGTTGCCAATATAATGCTACTAAGCACCACACTGCTGTTATAAAATACAATGTTAAGTGTAGAGAATAATACTAAGATAAAATATGCATGTGATGCACACTTTAATTTCTCAATAGCTCAAAAAATCATTTAGTTTGCAAATGTGACTGAATAAAAATCATCAAAATAAAATTATTGCAAGTTGATGGGAAATTCTCAGACATTAATCACTCAGACATAATTAGAAATAATTTTTACAAAAATAAGTAAAACAAGATTAGATATTATATCGAAGATGGAAATTATCTATAAAACAAAAGTCAGAACAAACACATTATCAATACATCGCTGCCTTACAAACACTGTAAAAACAAAACAAAAGGAAGCTAAAGAGACAATGAAAAGAGAGTGTATGAATCAGGTTTGTTCGCACTCATGACCCGGCCAAAGAAACACACATTTAGGGCACTACCACACACACCTCAAGATTTTAGTTGTAAGCTGGCACTGTCCTTCTCTTAAAAACTCAAGATCAGTTTTAAATTTCTTGAATGCTTAGTCCTCCTTCATGCCTGCTGTTGTTTTTGGCTCCTGTAAGCCGTGAGGTATTGGCTTCCATTAACATGTGTGCGCACTCGGAAAGAAAAGCCATTACATTCATCTGACTCTAAATCATTAAAAAAAAGATAAGGGATAAGTTGTTGTGGTTTTATTTTGTATTTATCAAGGATGCATTTAATTGTTTAAAAGTGACAGTAAAGAAATTTAGAATGTTACATAAGATTTCTGTTTCAAATAAATGCTGTTCTTTTCAACTTTCTCTTTTGCCAGGATAAAAAATAAATCAATAAATCAATAAAAATAAAAAGTCAACTGCAATTTTTAATCTCACAATTCAGACTTTTTCTTTGCAATTCTGAGTTTTATATTTTTATGAAAAAAAACACGCACACAAAGAATTGTGAGTCATAAACACATAATTGTGAGATATAAACTTGCAATTGCAAGAAAAAGGCTACTATAGCTAACTAAACTAAAACCATATAAAAAACTTTAAATAGAATTGTGAGATAAAAAGTTGCAATTAACTTGTTTTTATTATTCCGTGGCAGGAACAAGCTTCCATAGAAAACACTTATTTTAAATTGTAATAGCATGTCAAAATATTACTGTTTTTTACTGTATTTTTGATCAAATAAATGCAGACTAAAATGCACACTAAACAATTTTACCAGCCTCAAACCTCTGAACATATATAAAAATGCATTAGTGAATACAGAAATGTAGAGTGAACACAAACCTTTAAATTACCAATGTAGGAAAAAAGCCAAATATATTTAACTTACAGATTCTCGTTACTTAAAAGTCAAAGTTGTCATTTCTGGCACCGAATGTGATTGTTTTCAAACAGGTTTCTCTCCTTGTCTTCTATTGGCTGGATAAACGAGAGCCCTTTCTATCATGATTTTACGCTTGCAAAGACCCAAGAAAGACCAGCACCGGTCCAGATCTCCTGTTTCAGAGCTCTTCTCTCATGTCTGGCTCCTTCACTCTTCATAATAAGTTTATCTCCATCTTGAAGGCAGATGTTGAGGCTTATGCGCTTGGAGAAAGTGGATCTGGTTGTGTGCATGAGACATGAGGGCCCAGTTACAGTCTGGGGTTCTGCATGAGCGTTAGTGTCGGGGAAGCATGATCCAGGCATGCGTTTGACCTCACGACTCCTCCGTCCAGCTTCAAAACAGGCTTAAGCAATCGCACGTAACTTCATGTGCCAACTCTGTGATTTATACAAATCAAACTAGACCTGAGAATGTGTGTATCCTCACTCAAACTTTCAACCACGCATACACACATTTTTACTGGTTTCACATTTTAGTGGCTTAAGTGAATAATGGAGTTTGTGAGCAGAGAACATTTTAGTCCTCAAAACAGCTGCAACTAGAGTTATTATAGTTAACTAAAACTAAAACCATAAAAAAATCTTGAAATAAACAAACTAAAATAAAATATATATATTTTTAAATATTACAATTATTTATTATTTTTCAAATAAATGCTGTTCTTTTCAACTTTCTATTTTGCCATGGGATGAAAATAAATAAATAAAAAGGTAATTGCAACTTTTAATCAGACTTTTTCCTTTCAATTCTGAGTTTATATCTTTCAATTCTGAGGGGGGAAAAAACACGAATTCTGAGTCACAAACACATAATTGTGAGAGATAACTAAACTAAAACCATATAAAACTATAAATAAAAACTAAATAACAGACATAAATAAATAAAAATAAAAACATTAAACTTTCAACTTTCAGCTAATTGCCAAGGCAACATTTTTCATTTTTTAATTAGTTTAACTTGATACTAAAATAACTAAAACTAAAATGTATAAAAACTATTTGGACATAATAAAAAAAAATAATAAAAATAATAAAAATGACTAAAAATAAATCAAATAAATTCAAAATATTAATAAAAACTGTAATAGAATCTCAAAGTTACAAAAAATAAAAATAAAAACACTGCAACCAAAACCTCCAGCATTATCATTCAGCCCGTTTGCTGTTTTTTAAGCATTGCTCTGAACAGAGAAATCATACACATTTTCCTGCCAAACACTCGAGCTGGTGTGAGGTTGTGCTTCATTGTAGCTTCCTACAGAGCAAGTGCATGTTTGATTGGTTCATTATTTTTAACTGGTTAAACCAATTAGGGTTGTTTTCAACCAATAACTCGAGTTAAGCTCATTCATTTAGTTTGAATTTTGTGCGTCAGCTAATAAAACCGGTTTCCTCTACCACCTGACCTCAACCAGTTCCATCTATTAGTTTAAGAATCTGTAGGGGAGAGCTAGATCTAGTTAGTACTCACAGTTGAAGTTGGGCTCGATGTTGTCTCCTGCTAACAGACTGTTGATTGTGATTTGGTAGATGATGTGCAGCAGCAGGAACGTCATACTGGTGAAGCACAGGGATTTCAGCAAGCGCCCCGTGTGCCCTGCAGAAAGAAAATAATTAATACAAACTTTAAATTACATTAGCAAACAATGTGCATATAATCTGCAACATATCCATGCCTAAAATAAAGCCTGAAGTATTACTTCGGTTTTTACTCGTGCACTAGGGTATGCGTAAGTGCGCAACGGAAATGTCATGATCAGCATAGTATGCATGTACTGTATGCACCTTGATTTTTCTTGCACTAATTAGTTGGTCCACTAGTTGGCAACACTGGTTGTATCACTGAAAAAGAAACGTAAAAGACGAAACAACAACAAACTCCTGAAGACAACAACAACAATAGACGCTTGTTGGTGATAGCTAGTGCAAGAGGATTAGATAAATGCAAATCTAGTTTAAACAAGTACAAAGACATTTTTTACCGGTCATAACTTCTGGAGAGAAACGCTGCAGACACTGGACAAGGATGAAACTTTATAGAAATATAGCATTCCACACGTGCTCACCAGTGGATCCTCTGCAGTGAATGGGTGCCGTCAGAATGAACATCTGGAGAAGAAAAAAGCTGTGTGTTTGTAAGAAACAGATCCATCATTAAGACGTTTTTAACTAAAATACGAGTCCATAATCCATAATAACGCTTCCTCCAGTGAAAAAGTCCATCTCCTGTTGTACAACTGAAGATGGACTTTTTCACTGGAGGAATCATTATTATGGATTATTGACTCGAAAGCAATGGCTTAAAGTTAAAAATGTCTTAATAATGGATGTTTTTGTCAGCTGTTTGGACTCTCATTCTGACGGCACCCATTCACTGCAGAGCATCCATTGCTGAGACACTGATGCAATGCTACATTTCCACAAATCTGATATAGAAACAAACTCATCCTAATCTCGGATGCCCTGAGGGTGAGTAGATTTTTGCAAATTTTCATCTATTTTCATCTATTGCTTTGAGTCATAACATCCAATCCTGTGGATTTAACTGTTACAGAGGATAAAGACCTCAATGACTTGTAATATTCCAGATTCTTATGCTTTTAGTCCAGCTGTAGGGAATTCAAGCACTCCACGTGTCAGGGTGAAAGTTCATCGAGTTGAACCTGTCTTTCTGCTCTTAATAGAAAAGAGCTGCAGTAATCCACTGCTATTAGCGGAAATTCACCCTTTTATTACAGCTCTCTCTGTTTCTCTCTCGCTCTGGGCATTCATTTAGCGCTGATATTTTTGGCAGTGTTTGGGCTGTTCATCATTTAGGATCACGGGGCTCAGTGTGAGTTCAGAAAAATCTAAACGAAACAATGCTGTGAGTAATGCACGTTACAGGCCATAAAGGGGTCAAAAAGAGTTTTGATTTATGTATTTAAACATGTTTTATGATGAAGAGAAGGACTTGGGGTGGATGGATGTTGGTGTGCTATCAAAGGAAGCTGGGAATAACACAGATAGCATCAAACATGAATTTTAGGATATTAAAAAACGCCCACAACCCATCCGGCCCGAATGAGGAAATGACATCATACTGTATGCAGACCAATAAGTGTTTAATTTAATTGTCGATTTGGGATAGATCATATCACATATTTAAGGGAATAAAAATGGTCAAGAATTTGTAAGAAATCAGGATGAAATTTCACCCTACTTAAAGAAATGTATTTGTAGTTCATTTGAAGGCATTGGAACAAACGTCCGCTGTAAACGGTGGTCAAGGAAATGGTTGAGGTAGAAAATGAGGTCTGAAACCTTGCAGATAATAGTATGCATACTATCAGTGAGTCTAAACCCTTCCCAAAAAGTAGTATACGTCAAGTTTATTTTATTAAGTATACTTAAGTAAAGTTCAAGTATATATTTAAGTATACTTTATGTAGTAAGTATACAAATATCAGTGTACTAGTAGTAAACTTGTAAGTGTACTATTCCAATACTCATTGGGACTAAATTGACCCACTTTCTAGTATATAAAAGTATACATTTAAATATGCTTTAAGTATAACAGTAGTAAACTGAGTACACAACTAGTTTACATCTATGTTTTTAGTTTGTACTGCAACTATACTAAAAGTGAACTTATATGTATACTGAGAGTTTACTAATTAAATACTTGTAGTACACTTTGAAGTATAGTCTCAGTAAACTACTAGTTTAGTAGTTTTATACTGCAAGTATACTCGTACGTTTTCTTTAAGTGAACTCTACATCATACTTTAAGTATACTACTATGCGCCTATTTAGGTATAAATTTGTATATATTTTGTTATATGAATATCTGAACATACAAAACATCAAAAGAACAGGGTATCTTAAAAAATAAAGAAATAAACAACATTTTGAACAAAAAGCTGAAAAAAGACTATGAATTGGATTCAGAATGATAATCAAAACGTAGATAAAGTCCATCAAAACTCCAAAGCTTAACAGTTATTATTACCTCTTCATGAACATGAATTTTAGGATATTAAAAAACGCCCACAACCCATCCGGCCCGAATGAGGAAATGACATCATACTGTATGCAGACCAATAAGTGTTTAATTTAATTGTCGATTTGGGATAGATCATATCACATATTTAAGGGAATAAAAATGGTCAAGAATCTGTAAGAAATCAGGATGAAATTTCACCCTACTTAAAGAAATGTATTTGTAGTTGATTTGAAGGCTTTGGAACAAACGTCCGCTGTAAACGGTGGTCAAGGAAATGGTTGAGGTAGAAAATGAGGTCTGAAACATTGGAACAAACGTCCGCTGTAAACGGTGGTCAAGGAAATGGTTGAGGTAGAAAATGAGGTCTGAAACCTTGCAGATAATAGTATGCATACTATCAGTGAGTCTAAACCCTTCCCAAAAAGTAGTATACGTCAAGTTTATTTTATTAAGTATACTTAAGTAAAGTTCAAGTATATATTTAAGTATACTTTATGTAGTAAGTATACAAATATCAGTGTACTAGTAGTAAACTTGTAAGTGTACTATTCCAATACTCATTGGGACTAAATTGACCCACTTTCTAGTATATAAAAGTATACATTTAAATATGAGCCCATTTCTGAGAAGTACATAAAAAGTAAACTAAAAGTATACTTTCCTATTTTTTAGTTTAAAAGAAGTATACTAAAAGCACGCTTGAATAAACTTCTTTTTCGTAAGGGAAGTCACACTCAAACGTGGGCCTGGGTAAGCGCACAAGTCTCCTTTGATTAAACGCAGACCTCATTAATTCACTACAGCACATTTACAGTCATATTTAAAATATTAGAGGTAATGAGAGCGGATCGTTTGGTTCCCTGTGGACTTCGATGAAATATTACGTATCAGTCCTCAGACACGGGCTGTTTCCGTAGCACACCGTAACTCAATTTATTAAAACGTTAGGAAGCAGAACCAAGGATAAAAGCTTCCTCATTATGGAATTAGCAAACTTTTAGAAAGGATTAGAAAAAAATGACTGTGTTGGACATTTTTTTGTCTAACTATACGCTAGTTTTGTGGCATTTATCCATGTCTGTTGATGTAATCTATATGCTAGTGTCCTAAAAGTTAACAAAATAAACCTTACACTAGCGTTCAAAATTTGGGGTCAGTAATATTTTTTTACTACTTTTATTCATCAAGGATGTGTTAAATTGATCAAAAGTGGCAGTGAAGACATTTATAATGTTATAAAAGATTGCTATTTCAAATAAATGCTGTTATTTTGAACTTTCTATTCATCAGTGAATCCTGAAAAATAAAATGCATCACGGTTTCCGCAAAAAATATTGTGCAGCACAACATTGTTTAACATAGTTTTCAACATTGATAATAATCAGAAATGTTTGTTGAGCAGCAAATCAGCATATTAGAATGATTTCTGAAGATCATGTGACACTGAAGACTGGAGTAATGATGCTGAAAATACAGATTATTTGTAATAATATTACAGAAATATTACAGTATTTTTGATCAAACAAATGCAGCCTTGGTGAGCAGAAGTGACTTAAAACATTAAAACTCACAATGCTAGTGTATACTTCAAATATTAAATTCTTCCCTTCAAGGAAAATTAACCAGATAACATAATCTCATATTTTTATATATGTAACTGTGATGTAAACAAAAGGCTATTGACTATTCATGTCAATACAGGAAAACAACTGTGTTCATCAAACCATTTCACTGGGTTTTAAAAGTAATAATAAAATGACTGAAATGTCATATCTGTAACAATCACGTTTCAGCTTGCCCATATTAAATACAATGCAGAAAGCAGACTAATGTTTTCAAAAGCATACATTTTTGGAGCACTTGTCTCCATCAATGTATTAACACCTACCGATAACAATTTCTAAACCACCTGAAGAATCAGAAATCACTGCCAAGCGAGTCTGCCAAGATTTTACGATTTTTACAATGCATTACTGTTATGAAAATGTTTTACAGGTCTGCTCATGCCACACAGTTTTACTGTGAGCTCAGGCGATTAGCCTAATAAGAAAACATTCTATTCAACAGCAGCAAATCAGCTAAGTGCGGAGAGTGATGAAAAACACATTAGTCAATAATTCGGTGGATGGAATATGTGCCGATGGAGAGCGCGGATCAGTCGCACCATGTACTGAAGCCATTATGAGGTGCAGCAGGAATTTGAGTAAAAGCCGAAGTGAGTTTGAGCCCCTCCGCGGCAGAAAGGAGAAACCGGCACAGGAAGCGCAAATATGGACCAGATGTGTTTGTTATTTAGTGGCGGAGCGGAGGACTGAAGGCTGCTCTGTTGGCACGTTCGGCCGCGGTTTCTCATTATTCTGTTCCCCATTGCATCCGTTTCAGGCGACTGAACGAGTCGCGGTGTGTAATGGTGAAAATGTGTGCATCTTCATTGTTTGAAAGCTCCAAAATACGGGCCGGACCTGTAGGCTTATTCAATATTGCCAAATTGAAAGCTGGAGATGGTTTGAACCGTCAAAAATCCCCTTGGCTCCTCTGGACAGAGATATTGGTGTTGGTTTCTTTTTGTAAAGGTGAATTAGTAAGAATTATAAAGCAACTATCTGTCGATA